AGCTTGTTCTAGGTTGTTCAAGGGTTAGTATCTACTCGAAGAGCTTATTTCAGTAGTGACAAACTAAGGGAGAATTCGGGTAACAGAACTTGTTGTTTCCTAGGGTCAGTAGTTCCACAAGAACGAGATAGAACAGTGTTATGGTTACTTTATGTCCAATGCATGTTTAGGTGGATCTTGAACCGAGAACTAATTGTGTTTAATTTGATATTTTCTACCATTTGAGATTTCTTTGTTTTACTTTAGTTTGCGTTGTCTACAACCCGCTTTCATTACCGTTGTCATGTTTACTGTTTAGGATTTTATTTGTTTTGTTATTTTTGTTGTGGTTATTGGATAGAACATAGGAATTAATCGAACCATTCCCTGTGGGATCGACCCTTACTTACCCTATATATAATTCAGTAGTTAGGTTAGGAAGGTTATTAATTTGGAGCATTCGACACGCTACCAGTAGGGTATAGAAGGACAGTGGTGATAGAATCACTGTCTGATGTAGAAAAGAAAGGAGAAGACTAAAAAAAAGTAACATCGGCGGATAGAAAGTATTGAAGAATGGATAGAGAATAACACCTATAACCCTTTTTAAGTCTTGAGTATCCTAGGAAAATGCATTTGGTAGATTTGGCAGACAGTTTGTTGGTACCTGGGGTAAGGATATGGACAAAACATGTGCAACCAAAGATACGTGGAGGAAGAGAGTATAACTGTTGATTAGGAAACAAAACATAATGAGGGACCTGGTTTTGTAGGACAGAAGAAGGCATCCTATTAATCAAGAAACAGGCAGTTAACACAACATTTGCCCAGAACTAGAAAGGAACCTGATTGTGTAAAAGCAGGGTTCGGGTAGTTTCAATCAAATGTCTATTCTTACGCTCAGCAACTCCATTTTGTTATGGAGTATAAACATAAAAGGATTGATGGAGAATACCCTGAGATGACATGAATTCGGTAAAGGGAGCGAAAAAATATTCACGAGCATTATCACTCTGAAACACACGAATAACAACATTAAATCGTGTCTTAATTTCAGCACAAAAGGATTCAAATATAGAAAATAATTCGGAATGACTTTTTATTAAAAATAACCAAGTGCAACGAGAATAATCATCAATAAACCTAACAAAATATGAAAACCCTAAAATGGATGAGACTCGACAAGGACCCCAGATATCGGAATGAACTAACTCAAAAGGGGACGTAGCCTGTTTATTGACACTCTTTGGAAATGTACTACGAGAATATTTTCCAAGTTGACAGGACTCACAATTTAAAGACGATAAAGTAGATAAACCTAGAACCATCTTCTGAAGCTTTGTTAAACTAGGATGACCCAAACGATTATGAAGAAAAGAGGAGAATCGAAGACAGTGTAGGCAATGGGGGCAGAAGGTAACTTGAGATGATAGAGGCCATGTGACTCATGTCCTACGCCAATCATTCATCCTGTGTTGTAGTCTTGTATAACAACAAAATCATTAGTAAAAGTGATAGAACAATTTAAAGAGCGGGTGAGTTTACTGACAGATAGAAGGTTAAAAGGGCAATGGGGAATATACAAGACCAAATCTAAAGTCATGAAGGAAAGTGGTTGTGGACGACCTACTGCTTTAACAACTGCTTTGGTCCCATTGGCTAAGGTAACATGAGATAAAGAGGTAGTATTAATAAGGCGAGAAAGCAAATGGGGGTTACCAGAGATATGATTCGATGCACCAGAATCAAGAACCTAAGACCCTTGAGGAGACAACTAAGTGAGGCATGCAATTGATTTTCCTGACTGAACGATGGAAGCAACAGATGAAGAAGACTGCTTATTTACCTGGAACTAGAGATATTCATCATAATCAGCACCTGTAAGAGTCAAGGATGGCTGACTTGGTTCTTCAGAAGATTCAGAATGATGATAAGGATAAGCGACATTGGCAACCCGAGGAGGACGCCCATGTAATTTGTAGCATTTTTCCCGGATATGCCCCCACCTATGACAATAACTACACTTGGGTTGACCTCCCCTGCCAACGATCCCCTTGTTCTCCTTTAATAAAAGTTTGAGACTGAGAGGCCAGGACAGAAGAATCAACTGAGGAAGATCCAACCACAACACCAAGGGAGGAGACTCGAAGTAGTCGAGCAAAAACTTCATCAAGAGAAGGCACAGTAGCACTTGCTAGAATCTGATCTCGTACTGGAGTGAGAGCAAGACTGATAATGGCAAGAGTAAGAACCATAAAGAATTTGTCTCGTTGTGCCAGATCTTCTACTTTAGACTTACCAACGGGTAATAACAAATTAAATTCTGCCTTGAGAGAGACCATCCTGCCAAGAAAGTCAAACATGCCCACATCTTGCTATTTGAGATTTATCAAATTGGACACAACATAATAGAGTCTCCGGATAACATTAGAATAAAGCAATTTGGCTTGTCGCCATACCTCAAAATAGGTTCGATATATTTTATAAGTAGAATGAAGGTGAGGGTCAATAGATTGCCATAATAAACCACAAACCAAAGCATCTGTCTTTACCCAAGTAGTCTAATCATTCGTAACATCTTCAACCTTAGTGGTCAAGTGATCCTCCAGACCATGTCCCATACACCACAGTTCAACAGAGGCAGCCCATGAGGAATAATTGGAGATGCCTATTAATTTTTCAGTTGTGATAGGAGGAAAAGACAAAAAAGAAATGGAACCTGATTTGGTGTTGGATCCTTCAAGGAGCATGATTGTCTTATGGGAGAGATTTAACTGATCTAGGATGAAAAACAAAACTAATTTTGGGCAGATAAAAAAGAGAGGATATTCTGACGATAATGGGCTATTTCTGACGCTAGTGATGACAATGCAGCGTCGGACGATGATGGGTGTGCTCGCCGGCTGTGTCTGTGCATAGATGCTGGCGGTGAGACCTCACGTTCTCCGAAAAATATTGCCAAAAAAAGAAAAGAATTTTTTTCTAGGGTTTCTGATTTCTTAGCTCTGATACCATGTGAAATCAGAAGAATTTTCTTCATATTGATTGTGAACAAAATACAACAATATATACACATTCAACAGTCCATATACGGAAATGAAATAATCTAAACTAGGAAAGGGAATGATCTAATTTCCTATTCTAAAGATCCTATTCCTAAAACATTTGATTTGTACAACTCAACAAGCCTGATTCCTCTCCTCTATTCTTTAGGCCAATTCAATTATTTGTGTTAAAAAGCTGGGTTGGGCTAAATGAACTTTAGCCCTTATCTCAACTTTAAGCCCATTTAAAAATGCAGCCTGTAATATCTCTTCTTTCTCCTCTATCAAAAGTGCAACCACTGCTTCAAACTGCCGATGAAATTCAGCCACTGAACCAGTCTGTCTCATAGCCATTAAGAACTCATAAGGATTATGCTCCTGTGACCCACTAAACCTCTGAAGGAGTGCAAGTTTAAACATGGCTCATGAACTTGCTGGAGCTTTGGATTTGGTCCATTGGAACCAGTTGATGGCCTCACCTTCCATACAAATGGTCGTCGCTGTCAGTTTCCCTTCCTCAGATATTCTGTTAAGGTTGAAGTAACGCTCCACTCTAAAAATCCATCCGTAAGGGTCCTCACTAGAGAATATTGGCATTTCCAATTTTCGTCCTTCCATTTCACTTCGATTCTGGCTATTGTGACCGGACCCATTAGCTCCATTAGGATTTTCTACTTCGTGAGAGCGAACATCTCTCGATGAGCGCATTATTGTTCTGCCAGCTTTTTCTTCATCCTTTCTTCGCACCCAGGATTGTATCTCTAATAAACATTCTCGGATAGTACCCATTTCAACCCCTAACTTGGTAACTTCTTTCTCAACATTGTCCATTCTAGAATGCATTCTCGTCACAACCATTACCCAGAAACCAGTGCTCTGATACCACTTGATAGAACACTAACCTGTGAATCACCAAGAAACACACAACAAATCTATCCAATACTAATCCGCAATCAATAAGCACAGTAAAGAAAAGGAAATAAACTTTATATTGACGTTAAAATAGAACAGTACATCCAGAGATCATGTTCTATCATCTACCCAGCAAACAAGCAAAAAATTGGAACAATTCTAAGTACAGCAAAAACAAAGATAAGACTGAACTTCGAGGGTCAGTCACCTCCCCTTCTAAGCCTTAACCTTCTTTTCTCAGTATTCCTCAATTCTTTCTATCCATCACTTTTATTCCCTAACACCTTTTGCTCCTAACCGAATTCTTTTTCCTTCCAATCTCCTTAAGCCACCTGCCCTTCCAAAAACAACTCATAACACTCATGCACAACAAATATTCCTCTACTTCTCACCTCTACCCTTTCTACTGTAGACCAGCCTCCCAAGTGGCTCATCAGTGACACTGACACTTAAATGGTTGTGCTAGTTGCACACTTAGAAGAGAAATTATGTTGGGGTCTACACTCAAAGGTAATCTATGAAAGAGAGAGAGATTGAATCTTTCTTGATGAAGTCCCCAAACAGTCAACTTTGCCTCTTTTTAATGGGGCATCTTAATGCAAACAATATCTTAGCCATGTCCTCATGGCTTTTGTGTCAGTTTGGGTCCTAGACAAATTTGACACGTAGTTGTCTTCCTGCAAACTGTTCTTAGTATCAAATTCCATGAAAAGAGGTGCTTGTATGCTCGTAGTTGCATACATATCTAGGTGTCATCAATAAGTTAAATTAGGACCTTTGGTTGTCTTGCTTCTGACTGGGCTAGCATGTTGCTTATTCTACCTATGTAAACAATTGATCTTTCTTCAGCAGTTGAGAGTATGTAAATTCTGTTTATATACCCTTCTCTCTTCTCTCGGTGATATGACAATTTGAGTGCATAGAATGGGTCTAGAATCATAAATTAAGATGCAATATCTATGATATTTGTGATTGAAATGTTGGACATTCCCTCTTTCAGTATGTTTCTTAACCCAAAGGAAGGTTGATTTTGATTCCCTGAGTTTTTGGCTTTCCTTGTTACAGCACTTCACTCGTTTAGATGGCAAGCTCCCAAAAGGTGTTTTGCTTGTTGGTCCACCTGGCACTGGAAAAACCATGTTGGCAAGAGCTATTGCTGGCGAAGTTGGGGTTCCTTTCTTCTCATGCAATGGCAGTGAGTTTGAAGGTATGTTTGTTGGTGTTGGAGCTCGGAGAGTGAGACATCTCTTTTCTGCAGCAAAGAAGCGGTCACCATGTATAATATTTATTGATGAGATAGATGCTATAGGTGGAATCCGTAATCCTAAGGATCGACAGTACATGAAGATGACTTTGAACCAGTTGCTAGTAGAGTTAGATAGCTTTAAACAAAATGAAGGAATTATTGTGATTGCTGCAACTAATTTCCCCGAATCATTGGACAAGGCGCTTGTAAGACCTGGACGATTTGATTGCCACATTGTTGTTCCAAATCCGGATGTAGAAGGACGAAGGTGTATTGGAAATCTGAGGTTAAGTTGACAATCACCAGCTCTGCTGATCCTGGACAGTGCTTTGGTTTGGGAATGTCTACCTGACGGTCCTGGCTGAAGTATTTGTCCTATTAGCAATGGGTTATATCCAATTCCAATTGATGCTAGTGTCATAAACTTTTACCGGAATTGTGACTTCTTCCATTTTCTTTAACCAGCTGACATACAATTAAACAATTGCTGGATCTTGATAATCTAATTAAGCCACGAAATTCATGTAAATGTTCTGTTTTTTGTGAGGATATTTTTGCCCATGCTTATATTGCACTTTTATCGTAACCTTGCCGGCTTTGCGGTCTTACAGCCCAGAATATTAGCCTTCATGGGATAGTTCTTCATTGGATGTACTAAATATTTCAACTCGTGCTACTACCATCATTAGTTTTGAGTAATATTCTCTACCTATATGCTCAAATACCTAATTTACCTAATTTTTTTCTTCTTAAATTACAGGTCTTGAAGGCTGATGATGTTGATTTGATGATAATTGCTAGAGGGACTCCTGGCTTCTCAGGTGCTGATCTTGCAAACCTAGTCAATATTGCTGCGCTGAAGGCTGCATTGGATGGAGCCAAAGCTGTGACAATGGCTGATCTGGAGTATGCAAAGGACAAGATCACGATGGGAAGTGAACGCAGGTCAGCTGTCATCTCTGATGAATCACGGAAACTGACAGCTTTCCATGAGGGTGGTCATGCTCTTGTGGCCATCCATACTGATGGGGTGCTTCCAGTTCACAAAGCAACAATAGTTCCCCGAGGAATGTCCCTTGGCATGGTTGCCCAATTGCCTGATAAGGATGAAGCTTGCAAGCATTTCCCGCAAGCAGATGCTTGCTCGGCTTGACGTTTGCATGGGGGGAAGGGTTGCAGAAGAGCTCATCTTTGGAGAAAATGAAGTTTCTTCTGGTGCGTCTTCTGATCTACAGCAAGCAACTAAACTTGCAAGAGCAATGGTTACAAAATATGGCATGAGTAAGGAAGTTGGTGTTGTCACTCACAATTATGATGACAATGGTAAGAGCATGAGCATAGAGACTAGGCTCCTTATTGAGAAAGAAGTGATATACTTTCTGGAAAGGGCTTATAACAATGCAAAAACTATTCTCACCACCCATAGTCCCATAGCAAGGAGCTTCATGCACTGGCTCATGCATTGCTTGAGCACGAGACGCTTACTGGAAATCAGATCAAAAGTGTACTTGCCCAAAGTCAATTCACAGCAGCAGCAACCTCAGCAGATAGTTGCACAATAGAGCAGTTCACAATCCAACCCAGTGCAACCTCCATCAACTCCTAATCCAGCCGCATCAGCTGCTGCAGCTGCAACTGCTGCAGATAAGGCCAAAGGGATTGCACCTGTGGGATCTTAGTCTGGGAGAGGCTGGTAAGGCCTCGGCTATTTATTGAATTGAATGTGCATAGTTTAGTTACTGACTGGCCTTTTTGTTCGAGAACTGTAGTCCCTTTTCTGGTAGACTATGTCATGTATAACCATGTTTTTCAAAATTGAAGAGAAGCTATAGAAGAAGTTAATGGCAGTAGCATTACTTAGACAAGTTATTTTTAGAGTGAATGACAATTTCCCACCCAAGGTTTAGCATAATTACATTTTCCTACCCTTGATTTTTCATAAAAACACTTTCCCATCCATCGTTAATATGTTAGTGAAATCTGTTATCTATTAAGGATACGATGATTGAAAAGAGATAATACCCTTTCCTATTTGACATTGTAATTTTTAACGATTTAATTTCATGTAAGTAGAGACAATTACCAGTCTACCCACTTTACAATAATGAAATTACCAAATCCCCTTCCATTTGCACACGAATTTGAACATCATCTTCAACCTAACCATTGCATCTCATCCTCTGTCTAGGCCTTCACCAAATTGGAAACCATTCAATATCCGTCATCAGACCATGGAAGATCGGTAGTAGAAGGTAAATAAATAGACTTAGAGAGAGATCAAAAGCAATATTTTAAAACTCGACCGGTTTAATCGGTTCGACTAGGAACAGGTCAGTGAGCCGAGCCGGACTAGGCTTAAAATTGGGGGTCTGAGTTCACCCGATATGACCCGGGGTTGGACCGCGGTCTCTATAGCAAATCGTTGGTCTAATCGGTTTCGAGGCAAAACCAGGTGAATAACAATTTATATCACGGCAACTTTTGGGCGGCGTTTAGTGGGCAAACATGAATCAAGTTTAGGGGGTTTTGAAGGGTTGATCACAGTGAGTCGAGAGGTGGTTTCCAATTAAGTTTTAGTCGTCGGAATCGCTGGAATTTGGCCAAGAAACAGTGAAACCCTAGCTTTTGATTGACCTGGGAACTTTGGGGGATTTGTAGGGGAGTAGCCAGTGAGTCTAATGGTGGTGGTGGTGGTTGGAGTTGTCGTCGTTCAAAACGGATGAAAACTGGCAAATGAAATTCAATTGACACTGTTGTCGTGGTCGGCGATCGGCTAGTGATGAGAGGAGATAAAGTGTATGTTTTTTAAAAGGAGAGGGTGGGGTTCTACTGGTGGTGACGGGGGTGATTTTAGGTGAGAAAACAACCAAAAAAAAGGGAAAAAAAGGTCATTGTCGACAACTGCTAATGTGCATCAATACAAAAAAATTGAAAATATTTTTATGTGACACGTCACCGGTTTGACCCACTGATCAAACCGGTTAAACCAGTCAACCTGAGATCCGACCACTTTGCTGGGTTTAGTATCGGATTGGTTTTTAAAACATTGATCAGAAGTGAAATTCGACAAAAAAATGGTTGAACCTGTGGTGCGGTTGCTATGTGCTATGTGATTTTTGCGGCTGATAGCCGCTGCTAGTGTGTGACCATGCTCACCGGTGAAGGGCGAGCTCAGTTGCCCGTAGAAAATTGTCGCTAGCCACTACATTAAGCCATTGAAGCCGCCACACAATCAACCTAAAATTGCTAGAAATCTCAAACAATTGGAACCCAACTTCAATCATCAATCAATAATCAAAATAGCAATAATCTACACAAAAATTGCGAAATCTCTAGGGTAGCTCACGATTGCATAAAGGAGAAAATAGGTTTTGCTTTGTTCATTTTCTTTTTCTTCAAGTTGAGGATGAGAAAAAGATATCTGCTACATTGACTTATTTGGTGACAAAGTTATATTTTAATTGTTTAATATGTAAGCATTTAGTGAAGTGACTTTATTGCCCTTCTCACTTTAAAGTTAACGGTTTTCGTTGAGCAAGGGGTGGAAAATTGTATTTCTCAAAGTTTTTGGGTGGGAAAGGTAAGTACGCCAAACCTTGGGTGACAAATAATTCCCCCGAAATAATACTATTGGAGTTATTGTGTTGCCCCTGCTTCATATAGTTTTATGAAAAACCATTACTGGTTCTTATGTTAAGTTTAGACCTAATCGAATACACAGTTTGTCTTAGATTTGGCGTTAACTAATTTATTTTTTAGGTACCGTTTATCGAAAACACACCTTCTTATTGAAAACACGCCTTCTTAATTAAGAAGACTAAATATTTATAAATTGATCTAAGCTTTTATTTGCTAACGAGGTGTGATGTGATAAAGTTTTTGTACTCAATAATGTAGGTTTTGTGGAAACCTTGGACATCCTTCTATTGGTGTAAAATAATGCTATTTTTGGCCGGTCTTCTTTGTTTGTTCTTGAAGGTGTAACCATACTTGAATAGATATTATCCGTTTTAAATTTAGTTTTGATTTCATGCACACATTGTAAGTTTTTATTCACTTACAATGTATAATGTGACAAAAATTCTATTCTCAGTCTTCAATTTCTTTTTACGGTGTAAAAGTTATATATATATATATATAATCGGGGTGCTCGGGTCTTATATTTGAAAAAAGCATTATCTAATAAAATATTTTCTTTAGCTTATTGCTACAACAAACCTATAATATAAGGCATCAGCTTGATTGAAATCTTAACTTATTTCTAGTCAACGTTACTTAATAAGTGACAAAATGAGTCTCACATAATAGGCTTTGATGATGATAGAAAATCAAAGATCAATTAGAATTGAATCTTCTGTTTATTTATTTTACTCTTTTTTCATATATTTTTGACATTGTATACAAGATTTCTTGAAAGTAATTTTTCTAAATCATAAAATTTGTCGATTTTTTTTAGGATTTAGGGTTTATGATTTTTTGAAAGCAATCTCACTAGTTTAATTAGTTGGATTGTACAAGAGGTTCTGCAATCAAATTTGATTCACGTTATTAATTTATTTAAATTTTTTTGGGTTGATTATATTTATAAATTTTAGAGATAAAAAAAAATAGTCGTGAAAATATAAAATTAAAACAGTCATATATAGGCCTATTTTAGTAATAAGTAAGCACATAAAATTGGGCCAAGATGGGCCGGACTCCCTGGCCCAAATCACTATTTAGACATGGTTTTTGAGGTCGAAGGAGCCATTTGAGGCCTCCTTTTAATTTTTTTTTTTTTTTTTTAAATCTTAAATATTACTTTTTAAAGGTAAAATAATTAACCAATTTCTCTGCAATTTCTTGAATACCTTCCTAGATAAACCATTTTCTATGGAAATGGATAGAAATTTTTTCAGAATGTATCATTAGGGATCTTTTATAATACTTAACAAATTTATTGTTATAGTACAATGCTGTATCCATATCAACGTAAATTTCGTAAGCTCATAACTTATAATGTAAAATTTTGTAAATCAAAGCATTGTAAATAGCCAAAGCCTTTTCTTGGCGAAGTTCAGGACACCTGAATCCTAGTTCACTAAGAAAATGCCGTTGCTTTTTGAAGTAACTTGTTCTTCTTACACTATTATAAGTTGAAAAAACATGCTTTTGTTTCTAAAATCAATATAAATTTTACTCTCCATTTTTTGTTCATAATTTTGCTTCCATGTTATCAGAACCCAGAACATAATATTTCATTATGATTCTTCTTCAATACAAGCAACAAGCTACAGTAAATTACACTTGAAAAAAGAAATGCTCAGGAATAATCCCATTTACCTCCCAGATGCTTAGATAAATTAGGTTCTATTTTAGGCTTGACAGTTTGAAACCCTCATGGAAGTTAAAACTGATGATCAATGTGTAGCTTTCACTGTCAAAAACCATTCATTCATATAACAAAATCAAGGATCAGTCTCACCAGGAAGAGGGTAAATTCAGAAATTTAAAAAGTTCCATTTTTTCTGTCAATATGATGCCTTTTATTTCTTCTTTTGATTGGTAACTGTTTACATCTATGTAACTTTTTTGTTTGGATTCTTGCATTATACAAGCAGTTGAGACACTGATCTTTTACCTGTATGATTTCGCTCCTCAATTGTGCCTCCCGCTGCCCGTGGTGAGGCAGATAAAAGGTATGAACCTTCCTAATTGTTGTCTTTGTTAACTGTACAGTGTGTGTAGATTTGTATTTTGTACATTCATGTGTTTCTGATGTGTGCTTCCTGATTGAAAGATTGTGTATGATTTCATGATGCCAAAGCAGTCCAATAATTCGCAAAGCATACGCTTGTTGGAGTCGCAATGGTACGCAACCATACCCAGTTTGTGTCCTCTGCTCGTTGCATTTCTGCCAACTGCCATTAAGTAGAATTTTAGCCACGACTAATCTTCCAAAACCGTATGAACTAGAATGAAATGGAATCCAATTTATTATGAGTCATTGTTATGAAGTTATATATACCAGTTGTTTGAGATAATGATTACTTACTCTACCATCTCTTAGCTCGAAAATCATCGAATCTTCAGAGAACGAAACTGGTCTTGTGGCGGCTACCTGCATGCGGTTTAAACACTCATGATTAGTTTCACATCGGTAGTATCCTGTAAATCAGTGAAAATAGTTACATGCATACCCTTGGGTCACAGTTTTTGTTATGATCACTAATGTATTCATCTTTGTCAGGGCAAACTTCTTCCATTGTATATTTGGCCTCAACTTGTCCTTGATCATCAGCATTCTTTTTTCCCATATATGGAAAACCACAGTTTTTCCATCTCCATGTCATTTGAGCCATGTACCTGAGGTATACTTTTCCATCGGAACCAATTAGGAACAGTTGATTTCCTTCAAAACACGGGCCAGGTGCGCCAACCAGGGTCACGTCTTTGTCTGGGGTGCCATGTTCCACCCAATTCCACCCATCCCAGGAATTCCAATGATATTCAACTAGTCCACCATCTTGTGAAAGCATAAAAAGGGAGCCTGTTAATGATGCTGATGATGGCCTCATAGCAGTTCCAGGCACTACCGATAAAATCAAATGCTGAGACTGATAATGCTCATGCCACAATCCTGTCACTTTGTTGTACTGATATAACCGACCGTTTCTTCCAACAACAAACACTATATTGTCCCGGAAAAGTTCCTGATCCACTATGCATGCAACTTTTGTCTGTGGAGGGTGTCGACAATCTTTCCATTTAAACTTCCTTAGGGCAACCTACAAAACAATTGTGCTGGTGTTAGAATTATTCTGAATTATCACTCTCAGTAAAGTATAGAATAAGTGTGACCTTCTCTGTTTCTTGGCTCTACCTTGAAGTTTGAAACTATTCCAAAATGATTTTATCTATCTATATTTCTAAAGAAAACTATAATTTATTAATAGCCCTGATCAAATTCAGCATTGCTTTATGTGGATAGAGATATTTACATGCTTTCACTTGCAATTTCGAGATTGATAATGGTAATGAATATATGAAACTTCGACTGGATTATGTTGAAAACTATGCCGTACTTCATATAATGTCTGATGAACTATAATGGAAGAAAATAAGTGAACTCTAACGGCAAAATTTTAACCTATGTTTTTGTATCTTTCCAATAAAGAAAAAGTTCCCCCAACTTTGTGAGAATCTGAACCACCAAAAGAAAAGGGGCATGGCTAATATATCTATCTTACTTGTTTCGTATTGCAGTACTTGAGCTAATCGACATGCTTGTTTTATTTGGTTTTTGCAACTTACTGTGAATTGTAGTAATCTTCCATTTTTGCTCACAAAGAAGAGTGCATCTTCTGCTGTAACTTTCATGGCTTTACCTGTCATTCCATCCCAGGGAGGACCTCCTATAACTTGCTTTCCTTTCCTCATTGCAGTACAATTTATCCACGACAGCTCGGTGCTGCTCCTTTCTCTGATAAGCAAACTGCCATAAGTGTCAACCAAATATAAGCTTCCATTGTAGTTTCCCAGTACCCCTTTCATAGGCGTTGAGTGGTCATGCCTCAGCCAAAGCCATATATTTTCGGAAAAAAGATACTCAAAAGTAAAACCACCATCTGTTATGAGGAAAAATGATCTGCCTCCATGCATCACTCTCAAACGAAAGTTAGTGTTGATCCAATTATCCGGTAAACTATATTCTTCCATAGTGTTCTCTGGCTTACCTACTGATGAACTTGGAAATACATAGTCATGGTGTGCTTGGCTTCCCTTTCGCCTTCTTGTCATTCTTTTAAGTCCTGAATCATTTGGTTCATCTTTTATGCCTGTGATGCAATTCATAGGTCCGCGTTCTTCTGTGCAATACTCTGCATTCCATCCTTCAGTCTCGGGGGCATCTAATATAGACCAGACATACTTAATCGACGCCTTTCTTCTGACATTGACTTGATTATTTGGCCCTGAATTTTCGCCGCCTAGTCCTGATAGATGCAGTTCTCCTAGTCTACCATCATCCAGTGGAAAAAGTATTCTGCCTATTTGAAATGGCAGCCCAGCAACACCTCTTGCAGCTTTCGCTTGTGGGGGATGCATATGAGATGTCCATCCTTCAAGAATTTGCTTCTCTTGAGCAGTACCTGTCTTCACATAAAAATTTACACATCCAGGATATCACATATATCACTACCACTTAAGAGGTATGAATCACTCAAATGTCAAGGTTTATATGTATTTAATTTTATTTTATTTTCATTTAGCAATCAGAAATCATGGGAAATGTTATAAGATATGTAAAATTTAGTCATTGTTTTCTTATAATACCAACTTGACTCACCTGAACGTTTGGATATTCGATACTCGAACACAGTTCCTACAGATGTAGTGAAAAATAATGGGAAGAAATTCTCATTTGTTTCATCTTGCAGAACTGGTGCTATGGATGTCAGATGATGATCCTTTGGACTTCCATGGACTATCCATTTCCACTTTCTTTGCTGTATCCGTCTCTCTACCAATTTACCGCCCTGTAAATTTACAATATGTTGTGAGCAAAGGACCTCAACCTTGGAAAGAAAAATGAATTTACAGCATACTCAGCTGCAAAGAGTTTCTAGCCTCGGCAAACAGATGATATTATGTAAATAAAGTGGCAACTGTAAATGTTTTTTGTTTCTGAATTCTTATTGATACTGAGATTATCTTAACAACTGGCTTCAGACTACCTTAGTTAAAAGAAACAGGGAGATAGAGTGATCTCCAATCAAGCCATACACAGTACACCCCATCGACGGTATCAAAGAAGCGTTGCCTGCTGTTCCTTTGCTCCATATATGCTTCTTCCAGGACGGTTTTGAGGTTCTATCATATTCATACAGATCACCTGTAGAACTGCATTTTCATAGGCTCATGTTTAGCTCAATGAGTATCATTTAGGCCCCGAAACAGGTTGTGTCTGGGTGTGTTAGCCAGATAGTAGAAATTACCTTATAGTATATACAGCTTCTGGTCTAATACCAGCAGCATCAGCTATTGCTGCGACGTTTGCTCCAGGTGGTCGGCCATGATTTACCCATCTGTTCTATGTTTATAGCAGTGAACATTAGAGTCTCCTCATTGGGATCTACAGAATAAATAGAGACTGGAATTCAAATTTAGAGAACTATCATTAGTACTGATGGCTAATGCTTGTATTACAGTTCTACCTGGGAGGCTCAACCTCACTAAGTTCTAACAACAATCCATTCTTTGTGCAGAAGTAAACCCTCCTGCAAAGCAGTGCAGAACAATCACCAAGAAAATACTAAAAATGTAACTTCTTGTACCCACTTTTCTCGGTGGGGCTTGGATATGTCTCTTACCCACCTCAAATAGTGGGGCTCAAAGCACGTCCCCTTGATTCGAACCAATAACTTCATCATTAGAAACTAATCAAGAGTACTAATTGAACTACATAGAAAAAGTTTTAAAAAAAAATTTGTGGCTAAATAGATTTACTCACTCCCCATCATATGAAACAACACCAGACTTTATCTGGATCAGTTCTGACTCTTTATTTGTGGTTTGATCAATTGCAGGGATGAACTCTACCCAAAGTGGCTGTGAGTTCTCACCGAGTTGCATCTGAAAGAGATAGAATAACATCAGGAATGGAGAGTTTTCGCTTAAGATTTGGTAGTAATTTTCAGAATTGTGAAACAAATGGTACCTGATAAAGAACTCCTGCTTCTGAAAGAGCAAGAATTGTTTGATTGACAATAAACACAGACACTGCAGGGCCTGCTGAAACTGGCAAATCATGGGGAGCAATCACCCACTGAACTCCATTCCAAAACCTTTCATACACAGAACCACTCACACCAGTGATCCAGAAGGATGTTTCTGACATTCTTGTCAAAGAAATTCTTTTTCTTAGAGGCAAAACAACATCAGAACTTTCCTCGAAAACTTCACCACCACCACCATCACCATCACCAATACCAATACCATCTTTGTTTCTCAAACTTTCCTTCTCTTCTTCTTTGGTTCTTGTTATTCTATGATCAATCAAACCCACTTTAGAACAGTTGTCATTAACACAAGATACAAGATCATAAGGGAGTTCCACTTCAACCCAAGTGTTGGTTTGCTCTCTGAATTCCCAGAATCTATCAGTTTTCTGCTCAAATGGCCTCCCACTTTGCTGGAAAATCTGTTGTGGGCAACAGGAAGAGCCAGAGCAAAGAAAAACAGAATAACTTAAAGCCAAAAGGACCCAGCTGAAGAATATTAAATTGAACATGGACATGGTGATGAGTGAGTGCAGAACCTAGAAAAAGAAAAAGGCAAGATATTTAAGGAACAGTTCAAAACTAGATATTCTAGATGGTGTCAGTGACAAGTTTTTTGGTTGGTTTTATTCCATGTATGGTGACCCAAATGGACCATAACTTAGGAAAAGATAGGCAGAACTAATCAAAAGACTAATATTTTTTCATTTGTAACAGAACTCAAAGCTGGTTTGATGGCCTAAACTAAACCAGGGCCATGAAAGAGAAGGAAAAGCAGGGTGTTGGGGTCCATCAAGTGGGGAAGATGGTAGTTTTATTGCAGATGCTTTTCCTTCGTTTAGATCCTAACTATCTCTGTTGTTGCAGAGCTTTTTGTAATTTGTCAACTCCAGTGACAACAATAACATACTGCAGTGAAATTTATTTGTCTATTTGTTTATTGATTGAGTTGCTCAACTCCCCTTTTTATTTATTTTTACTTTGTGAAAGTGCTTTCATTTCTCCGGTACTACTCGTGTTTTTCTTACCCACTCTGATGACTTTTTGTGAATCTTCTTTGGCTATTTTGTACCATACGGTAAAAGTAACCCTTTTCCAATGTAAAAAGTCCTGTTATAATATATAGACTAGAATGCACCCATTATTGTTTTATACGGTATCACATTTACGTAATTATACAGTAATATCAAGGAGGTGTTTTTTTAAGCTTATAAACTGATCAAACTAGTTTATAAATTCTAAAATTAAGCTGATATATTTGTTTATAACTTTTTTGAGCTTATAAGCATTGACCTAATATATTACCACATTATCCTTGTTTAATTTTAAAATTTTATAGTATACTCTTATTTAATGTAGTACAATTTTTAGTCATTTTATAATAAAATGTACTTATAAGTTATATTTTACCAAACACGTCAACTACTTATCAATCACTTATAAGTACTTTAATCAAACACGTAATTGCTTAAAATTTCAAATGCTTATAAGCTAATTTTCATAAGCTCAGATAAACACCCCCTAAATCCATAACTCAATCTCACAACCTCCAATACAGCAATTCGAAATTCGTCAAGGTCTCGTCTATCCATTTGCGAGTTGATAAATTGTAAGCTACTACATCGAGAGTTGTGAGATTAGATTATGAACTTAACATTACTTCATAATCAAATATTATATCTAGAGAAAGTTAATTGAATCATCGAACATGTGTTGTGTTCCAGTTTTGATTAGTTGGACGGTTAGGCATATGGTTCACTCTCACAAAATCCGAGTATTAGTCATCTCATAGATTTTTTACATGACTAAAGGTCATTATTTCTCGTTCGTCAAAGATTATAAGATTAAACAGGATTGGACTCCAAAAGTAAGTGACACGTTACACGCTAAAGAAATATTTTATTGGGAATCTTGAGTATGTTATGTGTTGCATTCAGGTGAGTTTGTTTTACCTAATTAAAAGTTTAAAATGATCAAAGTTCTTGTGGGCTCTACTTGATGGAAGAACTTGGTGACTTTTGCCCTCTTGAATCTTTCAACATTTATCAGCTGAGGTTAAGAGGTCTCTATATTCTACTTTGGTCATTGATGATTGAATAGACTTCCAAAGTTGGGCTAAAATAGTGTTCAAATTCAATCTAGATAGAGTTACATTTTTGCTCCTATGGTTTTGGATTATTATCAAGGATGCTTACTTTAAATATTAACATTTTGGTCCTTTGTATAGCCACTTATTGTTAATTGACTCAGAAATTACATAAGAAAATGACCAATATACCACTCTAGGTAATTCAAACTCTTTCCCTTAAAAGTTATTAAACATACTGTACAGATTATATACTGTGATGTTTATGTTATGTATTTTTCAATATTTTTAGAAAGGCATTTTTGTCATTTCAATATGACTTTCAAATTCGTTTGGCGATCAACTAATGGTTTGTTAAGCCAAAAGACCAATATGCTAGAATTTGAAGCTAATGTTCTTGCCCGCAATACACTAAAGCCATAGGGATAAAAATGTAATTCTTCTCTAAATTTGACTAGACAAAGTCAAGTTAGGCACAACATAATTCCATGTATTGATTATACATAAATGACTAGGGATAAGAATTTTGACACCAAATTTTGGTATTCATAATTATGATAATATTGGTAAGAGCAAATATTAATGAATTTAAAGAATTTTCATTTAAAATCTTCGTAAGTATTAAAATATTAAAATTAAGATCGAGATAACCGACTCCAGATATATTTTATTTTGTTAATTTATGAACACACATAAAAAAATGTAATTAGACGAACAAGTTGATGTACCTCTGATATCATCCCTAGTTGAAATGAATTAGGTATATATTACTAGTGTATATAAAACAATAAAAATAGACCCGAGTTAAATTTGGGTAAAAATAATAAATTCTTTTGCGGGCCAGAATCTAGATTTCAGTTTACTTATTCCAAACTCAACTTGTTTCTTGTTCAGTTGGTTGTACATTAAACAATTGAAATTCCAATTTTGAAAAGACTTATATTCATAAGACAAGCCAAATTATATGAATCTTATCTATTTATTGTTTTGACTTAAAAATACATTAATTTAATAGCTCGAAAGCTACACTATAATTTATCAATATTACCAAATTAAACATATATTAGATCTCTCGTTCAAGAAAATCTTCGGTACATCAAATTTACGATTTGACTTACGTAAATTTGATCTTATATTAGTTGTGTTGCTATTATCCTCCATGGGTCCACCCATGATCATGATAGGCCTTTTGATAAGATTGAATGAATATAATCATTATCATGATTATCATTTCACGGTCATTATTGTCCAATGCAAGGTCTTGATCTGAAGGTGACAAGTGGGGACCCATAGAGAATTCCAGCCCGGCATGTGGTGGGTACTTGTTGATAAACAGAATCTCGGGTCGGCCACGTGGATATTCTAGAAGGAATCTTTAGCGTATCGTGTGGTTCTCTCTCATCAAGATTCTAAAATATCTTTAATAACATTAAAAAAATCAAAGAGATTAATTGACTTTAATTATTTAAAATTAAATTATGAGTACCACAATTAATTAATTGTTTTAGAAAACTTCTTCTTCTGGTTAAATATAGATAGATTTTATATAATTTTTTTAATTATAGAAAACTTGCATTAATTAATTGCAAAATTTGTGAGAAATAATTTTGAAAATTTAAATACATATGAAATCCAGGAGTGGCAGAGGCAAGGAGAAATATTATATTAGTTAGTGGCATTTATATTTATTTTATTTTTATAATTTTAGATTGTCTTAAACTAGAATTAAAAAACCCATCTTTAAAAACATATGCTAAAAATTATCTTAACGTGATTGTTAAGAGCACGCCTTAAGAATATTAAAAGAAAAAAAAATTATTATATCGATTCATAAATTTTGTTTTTCTTTTTTATACAAAAAGTGTATTGAAATAAAAAAAAAAAAAAAAAATCTAGTTAGTGGTCGGCACACTTTAAGATAACCCTTTTATTATTTTTCTTTTTCAGTCATAATCTTTTATTAAAAAAAAATATATATTATCTAAACAATTTCCTTTTTTTTTTTTTTTAAATTTGAGTTGATTTATTTTTTGGTGATCGGGGGTGTTCATGCTAGTTTGCGTGCAACCTCGACTAATCCTTTAGGATCGTGAAGTTAGCGACTGAGTAAACCCTTTAATGCACACTTGTTAGTAACCAAGAAGAATCGAGTTCAAAATCTTTTGAGTAATACACGAAAGATGTCCGACCCAATCACCAAAGGCTGGTTAATTTGATGGCCTTTTTTTTAGAAATTGCCATGAGTTATCCCTTGTGTGGATTTTAGCAAAATTGAAGATGTGATATTTTTATATATTTAAATTTCATAGTGGGCGTCGCTATAGCAGCAAAAATGGTGAAATACATGATTATTTAATGCATAGTGCTGTCTTGCATTTTGATTTGTTAATAGGCAGGCAAGGTTTTAGTCCATTTATTAATGTGGCTAATGGCTTCCCATGTCATTGATTTGAAAGAAGATAACAAATCTTTGAGGGGGAATTTGAAAAATATCAAAACATTCTATTGGAGAGGTCAATCTATAATATATAACATTTCAATTTTTGTTATATCATGTTGTAAAATTTTATAAAATCAAAATGAGAAAAAGGAAAGAAAAGATCGGCTCATAGATTTCAAGGGTTTATTTCATCTCATATGAGATCGCTCCGAATTAAACTCATCTGATTCATTCTCTTTTAATTATCAAAACTCTCTTTAAAAATATCGAACAATTCTTTACAAAATTATCAGAAAACCCTTGAAATAGGGGTATTTATTTTTTAATACCTTTTGAAGAAGCGGGTGATTTTGACACTAAGGTATTAAATTTCTATATGTTGAATATTTTTAAATGGATTAAGTAATTATATATTTGAAATTTTATATTGGTGGAGAAAATATTTAAAAAAAGATTGAAAAGTATGGTCGGCCATCATGAAAAAATAGCCTAAAACACGTGGAATTGGCCTCCACTTTGTGCAAATATGACTTTATTTTTTATAAATAAATCATAAAAAAATTAAATAAAATTAATATGATAAAAGTGGGTGGCAAATGCAATTCTCAATTTATACATGAAAAGTTAAACTTGTATGTGGAAAGGGACATATCCCTATCCCCGAATAGCTTTGTCCTCATGAAAAAGGTGGATTTAAATTGCCACTTAATTGTCACTATTGACTTTTTATTAATTAATTAAATCAAGTGATGGGAGCTTGAGGCATGAACATGCCTAGAATGTGAATTAAATACTTTTTTTTTATGTAGTTTGATATAGATTTAGATCTTTCGTGATTCAGATTTATGTCAAAATCATTTTTCGTGATTCTAAAAATATAATCGATACTTTTTATATTTGAATATCTATATTACTTATAACCGTTTTAAAGTTAACTTTATAGAGGTTAATCATTTTATATATATAATAAAAATTTACTAATTCATATAGAACCATTGAGCCAATCCAACCAGCAACTAGAGTTGTATGTATTATATGGACAAAAAGCAAACGACCATGATCATTCGATGAGATAGTATGAACACGACACCAAGGCAAACCCATGAGAATACCCTTTTATCAAAAAAAAAAAAAAAAACTGTGAAAAAATAGACACTAGGTACCTTTATTGCATTATTGCATTGAAAAAAAAAACACTAAGCTATGAGCCACATATTTTTTTTTAGCCGGTTATCTTAGAAAAGGGATTAATATTTGTTCTATTTTTTTAGTATTTAATAATAATGGAATAGTTAACTATCCCTAGATAGTCGAGTGCTTCGATAATGACTCTTGGGTGTGTTTCTCAAGAGGTCCTGAATTCGAGTCCCTCTCTTATAGGAAAGCCATTAAAACTCTTAACTAGTTGGTAGTTGAGGTGCACATAAACTGATGCGGACACCCTTGATCATCAAAAAGAAAAATAATAATAATGGAATAGTTCGATCCGTGTGTGTATATATATATATATATATATATATATATATTATTGAATACCTTGTGATCTGAAATCACCAAATTGGTAACATGGACTTTTTATTACGAAATGAAAGCTTAAGTCAAGAACATGTTTAGAATGTGTTCAAGTACTTTATTGTTATATGAAGAGTATTTGGATTTAAATCTTCGAGATTCAGATTAAGTGTCAACAATATTTTTTGTAGCGGTAAAGTATTTGATGACACTATATTTTAAATATCACTATTAATTATTAAGTCTTGATTAATTTGACGGTGAAAGTTTAAGACTATCTCTTACCCTTTTAGAAGTAATGTTAGTTCGTGAAAAAATGATATTTTTGTAATTTCAAGTTGACTCGTAAAAGTGAGTATTTTTGTAATTTTACTAAAAATCCAAAAAACTTTAAAATTAACCCAATTCTAGATATCATGATGCTATAAAATTGATTTATGAAACGATAGAGTGTAAAAATATACAGTATTTCTACAAGTCAAAATATTTATTTTTCTTTAATTTAAAATATCTTATTATTTTTTAATATTTTATTTGGTATAATTGTTTTTTTTCTCCAATCATTTCTTTGCCAAGATGATTACTTTTTTGTTCGTGAATACTCCCTACCACGATTTAATATATATATATATATATTTTTTTTTTTTGCTTTATCAGAAACATAAATTTTTAATGGCAACCTAATGTTGACATTGTTGATTATACTCTATGGAGAATAAATTGGCTTGACTTTTTGCATAAATAAGATTTAATTGTGTTGATTATTTGTTTATTAAATGGGAAAGGATTATAGATGTCTAGCCCATATGAGCCCACAATAGGCCCAGTAATGAGGCCCATATGAGCCCATATTGGCCCAGTAGTGAGACCCAAAAGAGGATTGGGTTTTTAATTTTTGGCAAGCAATAACATGCACAGTAATCTCTTCTTTAGGGATTTGACTATTCCAAGTACAAATAAATATAAATTTTATGTTTTTGGTTTACTAGTTTCAGTTCTAACTTTACCAATTTTACGTTGTTGTATCGATACGCTTCTTTAGTAAGAAATGATATAAAAGAAATATTTACGGGTGCTTTTGGTTTATTATTTCATATCCTATTCCCAAAATATTTGTTTGTTTAATTATGTAGGAAATACTGTTATATTTTTTCAATTACTTTTAGACCTCTTAAGTTTATTAATTTCATTAAATACCCTCAGAAAAAAAAGTTTAAAAATTAACAAAAATACCCCCATCCACTCATAGTTGCTAGATTTCGGCAACCACCGTTGGTGGTAGCCAGAATCTATCACAACGGCCTACAAACGATCGGAATTGGCTGGTAATTCGCCGATGACGACCAGATCTAGCCTTTTGCGGCCGTTGACGGCTAGATTTGGTCGTCGATCTAGCTTTTCTGGCCAGATCCACCACGGATCTGGCCAGAAAAGGCCAGATTGACGCACGTCCGGCTAGATCCGACCGGTTTGCATTGTAACGCCAGATTCCGACCAGATTTCGATAGTGGTAGCCGGAATCTGGCACTATGGGTGGGTGGGGGTGCTTTTGTCATTTTATAAATTTTTTATATATTGGGGTGTTTAGTTAAATTAGCAAATCTATGTATTTTTTTGTTAATTTTGAAATTTTACCTCGTAATAATCACACTATTCAACTATCCAATATTATTTCCAAAACCCTATACAAAATAACAAACCAAACGGACCCTATGATATCCTAATAAGGTTATTTTATCTCCTATTTTTACCATTAGGTTAGCCTTAATAAAAAATTGTCGCAATTTGTGAACCCAATTAGGGGTGTTCAAAAAAATGCAAAAACCGAACTGAACTGCTAACCGAACCGGTAAACGAACCGAAAAACCTGTTAACTGAAAAAACGGTTCGGTTACGGTTCGAAAAATTCAAAAAACCGAATATTCGGTTCGGTTATCGATTCGGGAGAAATTAGAAACGGTTAACCGAAAACCGGTTTTTCAAATATATATATAAATATATTATATATTAAATAAATAAATAATAACCTAAATTAAAATAAATCTGTAATTCACTCAATCTAAAATCCCAACCCAAATTTTTTTTCTTAGTTTCCAATATATTGTCTATATTTACAATTTAATTTAAGACAAAATTAAAAAAAAAAAAATTTATAAAAAAAAAAGGGAAAACCTGTTTAAAACCGGTTAACCGTTTTTTTTAAAACAGTTAACCGGTTTGGTTTCGGTTCGGAAAAATTCTCGAACCGAAAATCCGGTTCGGTTTAGAAAAACGGTTAACTGCTTTTGAACACCCCCAAACCCAACAACCAAATGGGAGGTGATTTTTAACTCCTATATAATTGATAATATCCCCCCATTATATTTCAAACTTAATTATGTTTTTTTTCCCCCACCAATTTCCCTAATTTTAAACTTAATTGTTTTTTTTTTCTCACCCATTTTCCCCAATTTCAAATTTAATTAGGTCTTTTTTTCACCAATTTTCCTAATTTCATACTTAATTAGATTTTTTTTTTCACTCCTTTTCCTAGACTTCAAATTCAACCAAATTTATGAACCCTATAATTTTGGAAGGCCAAAAATAATTAAAATATAAAAAAAATGACCTTTAATTATATACACAATCATGCGATGGCTTGAAATCTTATTTTTACGAGAACAAACCATTTGTCAGACGGTTCGTTATAATTTTTATTTGAGTCCAATCGAGTTAATTCAAAGATAATGAAAGAAATCTTAGCCTAATATCATGTTGGATATGATATTAAGATTATAATTTATAAAGGTAATAACTGAATCAATTATTTTAACTTATTCTGAAAATTATGTATAATTAATGTAAACTTATTTTTAAAATAATTAATCTAATCAATTAAAATAATGTGCATTTTAGTTTACAATAAATGCTAACTAGCCATTAGCCGAACAGGGCCTTAAAATACTTGGATTTTATTTAATTTATTTTTTAAAGCATTCTCTTAATAAAATTTTTGACTTAAACAAAACCCTAGGGTTTTGAGTAATCATCTTCCAGCTGCTGTTTCTTCTTCTTCTTCTTTTTCTTCTTTAATTGGTGAATTCAAACAACATTGTCTGAAACTTTCACTCTTTTCTTGATTTCCCAGAACTCAATTTCGGAGGAAAGCTTTTCATGCCAGTAAAGGTTTGATTTTTAGTTTCTTAATTGCTTATAAAACCTATGTGTCTGTTGAAATGCCGGAGAGACCCGAAGCAAATTTATTTCTTTCGTTTTTTGCAGAAGAGACCCCAAAATGGATGCAAGATTAGCAAATACATGGAGGTTAACTGTGAATGAGAAGAAATTTATAGAGTCTGCATTGCTTTCTGGTATTAGAGTTGATGGCCGGAACCCTTATGAGTTTCGTAAACTTTCCATCAAGTTTGGCAGGCAAGTTTGCCTATGTAATTATCTGGGTTTCTTCTTCTTCTTTTCTTTTTTAATATAGTTGATACTGTGTTGGAAATTATTACTATATAGTATAAAGTCAAATGTTGTATGTTACTGAAGTTACTTTGGTTTATATTAATTTGACGTTGAATGTTACAAATGTGAAGTTATGGGTTACCCATACGATGTTGTGGCTTTCTGGAGACTCTTGATTCCGGTATGGTAAGATTTAGTGGGGATTTTCATATGAGCTTTTTTCGGGCTTAAATACGCACCGCTGCATCTCAACTTAGTTTAATGAAGCCTCAGCGTATTATGTTAAACCTTAATTTTGCCTCCCATATGTTTACCTGTCCTGTAGTTGTCAATGCTGTATATTGATTCCACTGGAAGTTTTTATTTTTATTTTTCTTCCGGTTTGATATGTTATTGTTTTGTAAATGCATTGAATTTTTTTCGTTAATTATTGAGCAGTAGTGCAGAGAGCTTAAGCTAGTAGATATCTTATTGTGATTGTTTTTACATGCAATGTTGTTTTAGTGGCTTGTCAATAGATATGTAAATGTTTTATGTCTTTTGTTTTGTTTTTGATGAATGTGCAGAGAAGATGGCTCTTCAGAAGTGCAGCTAGGACATACTCATGTAATGGGTTTTGTGACTGGTCAACTGGTTCAACCTTATCGGGACCGACCGAATGAAGGGTCACTTTCAATCTTCACTGAGTTCTCTCCAATGGCTGATCCCTCATTCGAGTCAGGCCGCCCTGGAGAATCTGCAGTTGAATTGGGACGAATAATAGATCGCGGTTTAAGGTGATAATGATGATCTTTTCCCTTCAAATCTATATTGGAAGATAAATTGGCTTGACCGACCTTTTTTTTTTGGGTTTCCAAAATAGTTGAAGTTTTTCAGTTGTTTAGATAATCCAAAAGTTTGAATGTCTTATGAAATATACTTGTTTTTTTGTGATCTGGAATTTCTTCGGAGTTTTATGATATATACTTGTTCAGTGATCTTGAACACTTCACAGTGTTCATGCAACATACCTCTTCTAAACTTTAAATTAAAAATACTGTTTTATGAGTTCTGCAATTGTTCAGACGAATCAAATTTCTTGAAATGTGGAGGAAATCATGATCTGGCATCTTAGAAAGAGTGGGGATTGCACGTGAAACAAATCTTTTCCCCTTTAGAGGAAAACATAGTTTTACCTTTAAGTTCTGCATATAGATGACGTATTTGAGGTTCATATAATGTTGCAGGGAAAGCAGGGCAGTTGATACTGAATCACTCTGTGTTCTAGCTGGGAAATTAGTATGGGCTATCCGTATTGATCTCCACATTCTAGATAATGGGGGGTGAGCTGCTATTCTCATATACATACACACACACATTATTTGTTTATTGAAGTCATGTTCAATATTTATTTTTTTAATTTAATTGATTTATCCTGGAAACAGAGAATATGTATATTATATGTATACACTCACATTATTTGTTTATTGAAGTCATGCTCAATGTTTATTTTTTTAATTTGATTGATTTATGCTTGTGAACTGGAAACAGAAATTTAGTTGATGCTGCCAATATTGCTGCTTTGGCTTCTCTCTTGACATTCCGAAGGCCTGAATGCTCACTAGGAGGAGAGAATGGCCAGGAAGTGATAATACATCCACCTGAGGTTAGCTCCCGAACCGCAGATTAAAATCTAAGTGCCTGTTAAACAACTTTTTTTTTTTTGCTTTATAACTTTAAGTAACCATTTAGTGAGCTTTGAGACCCATATATTGATGTTGCTATTGCTATTATTTTCAATTTCCTGATGTTATCTCTTTGAGAGCTAATTATCTGAACAATCTATATTTGGCTTGACATTATATCTCTTTGAGATTCGGGGATATTGATTGGGAATATAATGTGGTAAAATACTTTAGAAATCCAAATAAATTCATATCACAGTAATCTTTGAATATAGTAGAATAAAATAAGGTAAAGAAAATGAAGTGACCCAATTATCTTTTTGGTAGTTCCTCCCTTCCTAAACTAGCTATTTGAACTGTGCATGTTATGATACACTCATGAAGTTGAAAAGTACTATCTATTTTAATTGTCTCCATGCATGCTACTATGTTGTTCCTGGCTTCAATAGGTTATTCTTTTAAATACCCTTTACATGTATTATGACACATGTTTACGAGTGTTAAAACTTTTACAGGAAAGAGAACCGCTGCCCTTGATAGTACATCATCTTCCAGTAGCAGTTACTTTTGGATTTTTCGGTAGTGAGAGCATCCTGGTAGGCAAATCTATTCCTATAAAACTTCCCTGTAATCTTGAAAAATGCATATTCATGCAGAAGTAAAGTTTATTATTCGTACTCTCATTTTAATGTGGTAAATGTCACGTAGGTAATAGATCCAACCCACCATGAAGAAGCTGTTATGACGGGAAGAATGACAGCTACACTTAATGCAAATGGAGATGTTTGTGCTATTCAGAAACCTGGAGGGGAGGGGGTCCTGCAAAGTGCTATCATGCAATGTTTGCGGATCGCTTCCCGGACGGCTAGTGATATAACAAAGAAGATAAAAGACACAGTGAGTTCCCTGGTCCCTTTTCATTGGGAATAAATTATTCAAGAGTGTACACCATGTTGACTTTATGTAATGACGTTTCCAGAAACTGAGGATCACATGTTTGACACAACCTTTGCTTTTAAATAGTTCAGGTCCTTCAGGAACCCAAAGATGCTGGTTTTACTTTTGTGGCATGGATGATTTATTATTATAATGTGAAATAGTTTTTATCTTTGTCCTCTTAGCTTACGAATAGTAGCATCTTGTGGCTACTATTGTCCACCAAGTTTTGCATTCTAAAACTTGACCAAATAGTTCAATGAGTAATTGATGTAGGTTGAAGCATACAACACAGAAAGAGCCTTACGTAAGATCAAGCGTCACCCTACTTCCATTGCTCTAGATGGTAGTGCTAATGTGAAAGTAGAACAAGAGGGATTTGTTGGCAATAAGGGTGCAAATGAGTTGCCCAAAAAGCATATGGGAAGCTCAAGACTTGTATCTGAGGAAAGTACCAGTCAAAGTAATGATTGTGATGGTGGAACCAAATCATCTGGACTAGGTGGAAATAGCAGGAGAAATGATGGCACTACAAATTTTGTTGGGGAGCCTGCAAGTTGGTATGGTGCTTTCCTTTTTAAGTTCTAGATTTATTTGTATCTGATTTTAGGTATATGACTTTATATAAAAACTCGGCTTTCTGTACCAAAGGAAGTGTTCACGAGGCATGATTTTCATTTTTTGTTTTAATTTATTGAATTGTTTTGCTTTTTAACTTAGATATTCTGACTTTCTCCTCTTAGGGATCCTTACTCAAAGGGTGTTGATCCGGACTTCCTGAAAGCATCTCTAGCTTCACGTGGTACTTACCTTTTTTTAATTACTCTAAAAGCATAATCAACAACCTTTTGTCTGGCTGTTCTTTTTTTTTTTTTTTTTTTTTTTTTTTTTCAGTTTTTAAAACTTGTTTCCGTTGAATATAAACTTCCGTATCATGGGGTTTATAAGGTTGCTGGTTTGTGGAGTGAAGTGTTGGGATTTAAAGGAAAGTGATATTTAATTTTGGAGGACTGGAAATAAGGCAGGGATAACAGCATATTCGTGAATGTCATGCATGATTATCATTTACTCGCACAAACATATAAACTTTTATATCTGTATTTTTCATTTAAATACATGCATGCACTTTAGGAGAATCGAACATGCAAACTCATCCTCATTCTTTTTGGAAGATGTGATTCCACTAGGCTCCTTGGAGCATAGACAGTCTAATTCAGTGAGTTTATATTAGGATTCTAAGGATTTACAAGCTGACCAGTGTTAAGCATGATCTATGCAGGAACATTAACACCCAAGAAGAAGCAACAAGACTTGACAGGTGAGAAAAAGCCCAGTGAAGTGAGGCCAGAGGAACCACCTGAAGACATTAATACAGCTTCTTCAGCTATTGATGCTTCTGGAACTGGACTGCGAAAGGATGGAGAGAAGACTTTGAAAGATGCTGTGAAGCCAAAGCACAAGAGAAAAAAGAGGGCATCCTCTGCTGCTGATGCAAGTTAGATGAATTTTGGCTGATAGAATCAGTAGAAATTTTTCTCCTTGCATGTATGTTATTCAATTTTTTTTTTATTATTTTTTTTTGTACATTTAATTGTGTACTTATCTTGGAATATCTGAAATTAATCATCGGTTTTAAGTCAATTTTCTGAAAAATTTCATCAAAAGTATGGCATAGATGACTTTCGTGTTACTCATTGTTGGTCAGGATAACCATATATATCTATTGTGTTATCTAGGGAATTTTAATGAAATAGTCAAGGGATGGTGCATTTTCCCCCCTTTTTCGTGAGGATTAACAGTGTACCTATTATTTTGACTGGTTCTTAATTATTTTATTGGATTAGGTTAGCATTGTTCATTTGGAATGGACAACTATTACATGATCCCATTTGCGGTTTCTTTGTGGATGCTGTCTCGTAGTTTCTGGTGGACAATTGAAGTCAAGATTTCATACATATTCAACTTTAGATGAGATGAAAGGATCAATTATCAGTCAGAGTATACAGAAAAGGAACCAGAAAGAGGCTTGACTCTTGGCAGTTGGCACCGAAGGCCTGTTGTACTGATATCTTAATGACAGTGAGTTTTGTTGGCTGAAACAGATCAAGCTGTGGCTGTTTTCATATTTGGTTGTAAGAACTGTTAATCTTACTTTTTATCAGGTCGTTTTGATGTAGAATCTGAGAAAGTTTTCCATTTAAATGATAGCACGAAGCATTTTTTTACCTGGAACATGTGGTGTATGGAACGATGAATGATTTTTTTTTTTTTTCAGTCTAAGCAGTTCCTGGTGGATTGCTTGAAATAATTTTGTTCATTGTTAGTGTTATACTAGATTTGTAGATGGATTTATTGATTCTCGGCAGGAAATGTGTTGTTGATCTTTTTGACTGGCATCAAGTGACTTGACTATGATAGTTATAGAAATCACATCAGGTTTGGACATGCATTTTCCCTTCTTCCTTTTATTTATTTATTTTAATAGGTAAAAATTGTAAAAGATATATAGATGGCCACTGAAAGACTAATGGAATTATGATATGAGGTTCCATGCAAGCAAGAATGACTAAGCCACTCAACAGACCAAAACACAAATTTGACTCATTGTATTTTGCATGCAGAACAAGCTGCAAAAATTCATCAGAAACTACGGCTTCCAGTACAAAAAAAAACTTCTGGCATATGAGAAACAGCCAAAGTCTGTAAATGCAACAAATAAGGGCTTCCTGTATTGCAGAAACAAAGCACTAGTTAGTGCACTTCAGTATACCACTGTAAAGAACAACATTCCACATAGTAATTGGCAGAAGTGCTGAAAAACTTTTTTCTGCAGAAATAAGTATAGAAAGTAGAAACACGTTGATAGAAATTATGCATTAGTTTCAATCTCAGTATCTGGTCACTTGACATTTTCTTGTATATCATTCTAAAATAATTAAATGCTGCCTCTTCCAAAAGAGGCTTCTCTTCATCTTACAACTTTTCTGGTATAAGTTCTGCCACACTGTGGCCGCAGAAAGAAGTTTCCAGTCCTCAACTAGGCGAATTCGGCTGGCCGAACGACTCCCAGGGAGAAGCAGTGTCATGTTTGCTACTTCCTCAACCATATCCGGAACTCCCAAGTGTTGTTCTACAATTTTTAATGGAGTACTTCTGTTGCTTGGCACATCTGTTCATGAAGTTATCATTCTTATCAGCATCTTGAATCTGATTAGTCTTTTTCAATTTGTGTTGCACACCACTAGTGAAAGGATCATCCAGCCTTGAGAAGGCAAAATACATTCTCCTATCAGCTGTCCAACAAAGAGGCGGCGGAACATAAAAGCATCTCGGAAGAAAGGATGCTGCAAGGCCTCTGCAGCAGTTGGCCTCTTGCAAGGATCCCAGGAACAAAGTGATTCGATAAGGCTGACCGCGTCTTTACTCACCGAAGGCGGAACACAGAGAGATTAAACGTTAACTCCGGAAATCGGTAGTTAATAACCTGCTTGAAAAGTCCATCAGCCCAAGAATCCTCAGTAGGACTCCCTATCACACTGCATATTTTGTACATTTATCTCCCTCATTAGCCCCGGAAGAGAGGACTAAGTGTGAATAGCTCAACCATTATAGCTCCCATTGCCCACATATCAACTTTAGAGCTATAAAACTGTGAGTGAAGCAACACCTCCGGGGCTCGATACCAGCGCGTCGAGACATACTCCGTGTACGGTGGGCATGAATCAATCTCCCTTACAAGACCAAAATCAGCAATCTTGATCACTCTTTCAGAACAAGCAAGTTCTCAGGCTTCAGGTCCCGGTGGAAATATCCATTCGTGTGTAAGTAATTCAGACCCTGGAAAACTTGAAAACACAGCCTCCGAACTTCGGCTTCAGAGAAGAGATTCTTTCTGTCTTTCATTAGTTCATAAAGGTTACAATCCATGAACTCAAACACAAGTATAGAACTCGTTTTCCTTCACCAGTTCTTTGAGCTTCACAATGTTGGAGATTCAGTTTCGCAGTGACTTCACTTCCCTCAAATTCTTGCATTCCTCCCAGGATTGATACCTCTCTCAACGCTTTGATCGCCACACATTCTCCAGACTGCTATGACAGCTTTCCATACGCTCCGAAAGCTCCACTGCCATTTCTTTGATGAAATTGTACCTCTCCATGGTTACTTCCAGAACAAGTACACACACGAAACAGATGCTTCTTTACTCAAGAAAAGCTCACAGGAGAACAAACCAGAAATTTTCTGACGCTGCTCAAGCTTTGAAGCCTTTCAAAATCCACAGCCTCCATAGTGAAATCTTTCCCGGAAGAAGAGATTTCTAAACTTTCTCAAGAAACCCATGAACAGCAACGAGAGAAAGTGTTTAAGAACTAAAATCTAAGCAATTTTCTCAGGTGAAGTAATATATATTTAGTTTGAAGACGGTATCCGAACAACATAAGGATTGTATTTATATTGAATCCTGGAGTTATTAACTTGAACGAAAGTTTTCTGAAGGAGAATATTCATTTATCACCCCTGAGTTTTGAAATTGACTTCTTAACACATGTTATTCAACTAATGGTTGTTTACTGTTTTGCCCTTTTTTAAACATGATACTTTATTATCCGGAGTTACAATAATGCAGATTTTTTTTTTTTTTTTAAAGAGATTATACTGTACTAATTCTTGATTAAAAAAAAAAGTTCTAATTATTTTATTTCCAAAGGAAATATAATTAGAATGTTTTCTAACGTAAATCAGGACATAAATAAATACATTAATCCAACTCTAATAATACTCGTCGATAAAAAAATTAATTATATGGTCAGTTTATTTAAGTAGAAATTATGAAAAGTAGGTTATTAGAATATAGTTTTCGAAAATAATTTTCAAATCAAACTCTTTAGAATTACAACTAAACAACATTACAACAATTTTTTGTTTTTTTTTTTTTTTTTATTATATAAAGAGTTTCACTTAAATGAGCTCTTTTAATTTATAGATAAGCTCAACCAATCAGATGCTGAAATTTGTAACTAATCGTTTTATAATTAAGTAAATGGCTTGAAATAGAGATAACTAGCCTTCCAAAATAAAGCTTTTGTTCATCGTTATTCCATTCCGAAATGGAAAAGAAAGGGAAAAAGAAAGAAACCTACAGAAGATGGGAGGGAAGGAAGAAGATAAATCATTGCTGAGTACAAAAGATTTCGAGGAAAGAGGCATCGAATTGATCCAAACTGGACAGTTTTGAATCTTTATGGTGGTTGCAGATTTGGCTTCTTTGAAATTGGAAGAAGATCACTTGAAGAAGAAGAAGAAGAAGAAGAAGAGCAGAAGCAGAAGCAGCCGCCTGTCAAGAGTAATGGGTTCTTGAAACTTGATAAAGGCAAAAACAAGAGTACTTCAGGAATTTGTGCAGCTGGGATGAAAAGAGTGCAAGATTGCTCAAAGAAAAGGATCTCAGAACCATGAAAGAAGAGAATTCTAGCGCCAGGGTTTCGCTCGGAAACTTCTCGGTGATGCCATGAAAAGCCGAGAGTTTTCGACGACGACGGAGAGTTCTTGAAACTTGGTAAAGGCAAAAACAAGAGTTCTTCAGGAATTTGTGTGGCTGAGATGAAAGAGACAAGATTGCTCAAAGAAAGGATCCAGGACCCCCATGAAAGAAGAGAATTCTAGCGCAGGGTTTCGCTCGAAGGGTCGGAAACTTCTCGGTGATGCCAGAAAAGCCGGAGAGTTTTCGACGACGACGGAGAGTTCTTGAAACTTGATAAAGCAAAAACAAGAGTGCTTCAGGAATTTGTGTGGCTGATGATAAAAGGATCAGATGCTCAAAGAAGGATCTCAAGACCCCATGAAAGAAGAGAATTCTAGCGCTAGCGTTTCGCGCGAAGGTCGGAAACTTCTCGGTGTGATCCATGAAAACCGAGGAGTTTTCAGCGACGAAGAGCTGGAATTTATCGACGAAGAAGAAGTTAAAAGGAGAATCAACTTGATTGATATCCCGGAAAGTTTGAAGGAATATATCGAAAAGAAGCAGAATGGTACTGAAATAAGCGGCTAATACAGAGAACCTTTGCACTTTCGGATGTTTATCAGAACAGGTTGTCCATTCCTGTGAATCAGGTAGAGCAAGAGTCTTGACTCCAGAAGAAAAGGAGATTGTTGAGAAAGCAGGCAAGCTGATAGTGTTCTTATTGAGCCTTCACTTGAAGTTTGTGAAATGTTTTGGCGAATGGAAGGATGTATGTGCTGAAACAGGGTGGAAACAATGTTAAAGCTCGGAATGAGCTTAAAGAAGGTGAGAAGTCCAAGTATGGTCGTTCAGGTCCTCGGAAAAGCTTTCTCTTGCCCTTGTCATTCTTCAGAGAAATGATAAGAAGGTGGTGACAACGTCTTGGGTAAGACAAGTATCATCTTATCGTGTTATATATTCATTCATTAGATTGTCTGTGTTATATAGAAAATTTCGTCATTATTTGGAATCCTCAATCTTCCATGACATTGACTGTATGTCTTGACCTGGTTTCATTCTTAATTTGTAATTTGAGTGGTTCTCAAGTCCAATCTCGTCACAAGTGCAAACTTGGGGTGAAAATCTAATATCATTCGTTTTCAGCTTAAGCAGTATGTTATGGCATAACTTCCCGTAAAATTGTATTTTTTATTTCCAGCAACGGCATAAGAGTTAACTCGTCTTGATGTCTTCAAATATTCAAGCCTGCATTTATTTGTAACTATCCCCGATAGTGGTGGACATCTACAGAAGTAACAAATCCTTGCTGACAGACACCATCTAAACGGATGAAAGCCCTAAACCTAATTTGATATAGAGCCTTTATAAATATAGCTTTTTTTTAAAGTTCTCAAAAATAGATATAATTAAAGAAATCTATTTTTTTTTGGATAAAAACAATCTTGTTCAATTGGAGAAAGCCCTAATTTGCACGAATACTGAAACCAAATGGTATATAACTTTTCACTGTTACATGATAAGGATACCTTAGACCCTAAGACAATTGATAATAACTATTTAGATAGAATAAAGTAGTAAATTAATTTAAATAATATTGTCTAACGGCCTTCTGTATACTATAAATTAATGGTATATCAATACTGAAATGCATCGACCAGAATCCAACAAAACATTCAAAAAGGATTTTTTTTTTTTTTTGGATCGGGGTGTTTATACTATTTATGCACAACTCGACTAATCCTTGAAGTCCATTGAATGTACTATAAATCCAATGGCCAGATAAGTGGCC